TTTCCCATTTTGCTCCCTTTCCTACTCGCGTCTTTCTCTCATCCTCCCTTTTGTCTCTCAAAAATGCAATTTCTGTGAGTATTCTTTCTTACCTTTTGTCTGCCTTCTTTTTATTTCTCCCACCTCGGTCTCTCATTTTCTTTCTCTGATCATTCCGTGCTGCCAGTCAGCTATGTGTAGTTCTCACTCTCAGCACATAGCAATGATTTGATGCCATGCTTTTGTCTTTGGTGTGTGTGTGCACTTTCATGCATGCATGTGCATGTGCATAGGAGTGCTACCACGTCTGTCTGTTGTGTGAATTTGACACAAATAAAGGCTGTCATGAACTCCACAAATCAAATCCCTAAGTGTCTTGTGTTAGCAGAACAAGGGTGAAAACTCCTGCCTGCTTTCCACTGCAGGGTCCAACAGAGAGAACCACGGTTTATTTTCATCATTCTAACTCAATTTGTACCCCCTCAAAAAACAGTTTTGTCAATCGGTTGCAGAAATGATTAACTGGGCTATGCAGCGTATCAAATAAACAAATAATGCTTTTATGTTACTTTGTTGATCCTAGAAGGGGATTAGTTTATCTTTGCTAACTTAATGGAGGTTTTTAGGTGTAGGGTCAGAGAGAGAGTAGCCCTGGAGCGAGTATTAGGAGTCAAAGTCACATTCCTTTACTCATGTGTGTCACAGTCCTGCTGTGAAAAAGCTATGTGTTCAAGTGTCAAAACAACTTGTGTTCTCTCTATAACCAGGAAACGAGTCTTCAGACTTCTGACTTAAGGTAGCTGTTCTGCTATTTGCTGTGTCTCTTTCTCTGAGTATCACTTTATTAAGTCAAATACCCAGACTACTGGTTTATGTTGCATTGTTGTATTGCCTCACTGCCCCTATTAGATCAGAATCAGAATCAGCTTTATTGGCCAGGTGTGCTGCACATGAGGAATTTGACTGTGGTACAGCGGCTCTCAATGTGTATGTACATATCCCTATGCAAGGCAACAGCAAGGGGCAAGTAAACAATATACCAATATAAGGCTGTAAGGTATAACAAAATAAACAGTAGATTACACCCAGATAGCAAATTTAGTCAAAACTCAAAGTGCAGAGTCTTAAACGTGTATAAATATATATATCATTCACATTAAACATTTTGTCATTAAACAAAGTTTAAGTCAAATAACAGATGGCTGATTTTGTTCAGTTTGAAAACAAGGCACAGGTTCAGCTCTATAGCCTGATCAGCTGCTTCTGTCTGCTGCCAGCAAAAGTGTGGAGATTTTGAGTTTCTCCCCTAAGGCCAGGTGTAACAGGGCGAGAAATTCTTGTCTCTCTCATGCCAGAAGTCATCATGTTAAAACCTCAGGATGGTTATGATGAGTGTTTAACCATTAGATAATGTGAGCTGGAGGTTTAGTATAGGGCCTTTTCACAGTGATGTTCAGTAACATTCTCTTATCTCTTTCTGATGTTATGTGAAAAGGTTCTGTTATGCTGTCACTAATGTATTTTATTTTATGTGAGCTTGTCTGGTAGGGTTTTGTATTTGTATCCTGCTTTCTGTGTTTTATTACCTCAGCCAAGGAGGTTATGTTTTTACCAGTGTTTGTTGATTTGTTTGATTGTTCACAGCGTAACTCAAAAAGTTATGAATGGATTAAATTCTTTGGAGACGTAGAGTAGGGCCCATTAAACAATTCATTAGGTTTTGGTGGCTATCCTGAATCAATGTCCAGACCTAAGAATTTTTCATTGTGCAATAAGACCAATGTCAATATTTTTGCTTCTGACTCCATACATAATGCCTACAATACTTAGACAAAAATTGCACAATAACATCTACATAAGATCTACAATATACCGAAGTACTGTATGATCTGGATTCAAGTAATATTCCAGATGTGGTGATCCAGAATGTTCACATATATAGGGCTAATGGGAAATTCACTACTGCTACTGACAATAAATAATGCTAAAGGCTTACAACAAGCTGAGACTGCTGATTCAGCAGGTTGTTGACAGACTTGACATATTGTATCTTCAAAAGTTCCTAAACTAGATCCTGAAGAAAACCACCATTGCTAAAATATTGTCTTTCTTGGATAACTTTCAAACTAATAATGATATCAATGTGATTAACATATGGGGGTTTCACTGCTTTGGCTAGTCTCCACTCCACTAACCCTAAAGTATGTAATACTGCAAATGTAAACTGGGCATTACTCTGTCAATTACTGGCATTTCCCTCATTGTTCTACTCCTACAGTAAATGAAGGAAAGCCATTTGCTTGTAAATTCATTCCATTCCATTTTCATTTCATTTATTTAATTTATTTGACAGGGATAGTACTCATGAATCAGCAGAAAACAAAAGAACTATAAATAAGCCAGAGGTAAACAATAAGGATAATTTGGAAATCTTTAAAAAAAAAAAAATATGCTAATCTCCTCTTTCTCTCTCTGCAGGTAATAAAAGCAGTAGAGGAGAGCTACAGGTTGCCGGGTCCTATGGACTGCCCCGAGGCTCTGTACCACCTAATGATGGACTGCTGGCAGCGAGATCGCAATAACCGCCCCAAATTTGATGAGATTGTTTGTTTATTAGACAAACTCATTCGCAATCCCAGCTCATTAAAAAAACTGGTTAACTCCTCACACAGGTAGGAATGCAAACTGCAGAGCAACAACTTATCAATTTGTAATTTGATATAGATTCTTTGAGATACAAGGACAACTGCTTGGATACACGTGGCAATCGTAGCATGTTATATTTTAAATATACTTCAAGAACTGCTTTTGGCTATGAAGGCCAGTACAGAGATTGATATCTGTCTGAGCAGTAAACAGCCAACAGTTACATTAGTATAAGCTATGAACATCTTTTAATTTGAACATTTTTGTTTTCAATATACACATATTGGCCATTAATTAATCTGTAACACTCTTTTTTAAATCAACTTTAAAAATTCTCTGTGTTTTAATTGACCTATACTTTTTTAAGCGAATTAAACCCTGCACTGCAAGCTAATAGACTCATCATTGCTTAGATGAGATATAACACTTCAGTCTCTGTTGAAGTGTTGTGCAGCTGTATAATTAAATCAGGATGGACATAGTCTCTGACTGCTGCACACTGGCAAAGTAGGGCAGATAAATAAATGAAGTGGCATGATTCTCTTAAAACTGCACATTAGTGTGAATCGTATTCAGTGGGGTGTCCTTTGATTATCGTAAGATTCAAACATTCAATTAGTATTTCCCTACTATGTATGTGTATGCATTGCATTAGTGTATAATGGAATGGAGTGGTTTTAAGTGCTCTGAAGCACGCATTTTGTCAGACGCCCTCATTACCTTTATTTCATTATCGCAGCAAAGAAACTATGTGAGAGTGTTTGTTCTCCTTTCTCATTTCCTCATACACATGCAAAAACACACAGGAGCACACTTAACAAATTGATACAATATCTTACAGCCCAGGCAGTAACATACGACAGTATCAAGATGTAAAGGGACACCAATAGGGGCAGTGCTTTGTCTGCATGAAATTCCTATTGTAGCTGTAGTTTAGAGAATAATGTAAGCTAGAATAAAAGTTTCTGTTTGATGGCATGAGGAGCTTTGGTTTGCTAGTGTGATAGACGGAGAGTATTTAAGTGGACATCATTTTCAGCTTTACTTGATGCCCAGTTAGCATTATGAAGTCTCACTGGAAAGTGTCAGAAACAAACTGCTGGGTTTCAAAAATCTATTTTACTATATTAATACTTTTACTTCCTGGCAGCCATGTATATAGTTTGAAAGGACATAGTCGATAATCTTGTGCCTTAATTTGATCACTGTTTTACTTTTACTTTTTAAAATAACTTTATCTCCATTGTTGTGCCAGGGTTTCCAACCTTTTGGTGGAGCATGCCAGTTTAGACGGGGACTGCAGCACTCTGAGCCAAACTGTAGGAGAGTGGCTTGACTCCATCAAGATGGGTCGTTACACTGAACTCTTCATGGAAGGGGGCTATTCTTCACTGGAAACAGTGGCTCAGATGACGTCTGAGTAAGGCTACTTAAGCACATAAAGACATACATACACAAGTAGTAGGACCTGTAGCCGTCCAGACAACTTGGGCTTTGTTTGCTCAGATTTAAAGGTATCTCTCTTAGATTTCTGCTGATGCCACAGTGACAATGGCACCAAAAAGCAGCAGTGTAAAATTACTTTAAAAAGTCAACAGGAGCTACTCATTCAATATAATGTGTCACCATGGAATCTTCAGGTGGACTGACACTTTAGAAACTTTAAAAAGTAGTGATATCACATTCAAGAAGCTCAGATGATTGTGTGACGCTGTTTTAGATTGTAACTTTCACCTGTTCTCACCTTTCAGCGACTACAGCAGGTCTGCTCCTATCTTTGTTTTCCACGTGAGAAATTATTAGCCCACTTACAATATGCTGTGAAGCAAAATGAGAATACAGGATCTGCGTGACATAAGCATACATAACTCAGGGAGCATCATATCTGTACTGAAACAGAATTTGTTTCTTACTGCTTTAGTGATGCTATTCATAAGAGCCAAGCTATGGGAGGGTGCTATACTTTCTGTTATTCTTTTTGTTTTTCAGGGATTTGCGGAGAGTCGGAGTGAACCTGGCTGGACATCAGAAAAAAATCATCACTAGCATTCAGGAAATGAGAGTGCATATGAACAACACCAACTCTACTGTAAACATCTGATGCACATGTACAGGCATGCACACACACACACACACACACACACACACGCACAATACAGTATATGGGCCTAGTATGTGACAAAAACACTCAGATTTGCTGTTGGACCTAGAGCGGCTTAGCACTTTCTGCAGACATGGAAACCCATGGATCTGAACTGGTGGATCCCTTGTTGTGTGGTTCTCATGTGGAGTTTGCTTGTGGTGTTATTGCGGATATTTGACATTGCGGTGCTAAAACTGAACGACAACTGATGTAAAGGGAACATGATGATGAGATTGCTGAACTGAATTGCGTTGAACTCAAGTGAATTATTGCGAATCATGAGGATTCTGATGTCTCTGCACTGTTTGGATTCTCTCAGATCAGATATCTATCACAAACTGCAGATCTGTCGCAGAGCAAACAACACTTTTTGGCTGTATCACAGATGTGGGAGTTTCATGCAACAAACTTTTTTCAGCCTGTCTCAGGTGATCAGAACAGTACTGGCTTATTCTCTGGAAGCACAGTTCTGTCAGGAGTCTGTGAACTGAACGCCATTCTCAGGCAGGGTAAACATAATAATGGACCAAGAGTGAATTCTTCATTAGTTTGACTCTTTGCTTTGCCAACTTCATATTCAGCATCATATACATTGTTATCTTCCAAAGCAATGCAAGATGATATTACATAATTCCACCTTCATTGTTTCAAAAAGGCTCAATTTTAATCTAGGTCTTATTGAGCCTACAAAAGGAAAGTGAGAAATAATAGAAGGTTTTAGCCACTAAAATGATCTATATCTGTTCTCTGTGGCTGAATGTATAGCACTACACAGAACACAACACTCAGCTGCACCATTAAACTGGTGTGGCTTGATATGTAAATGCTGTCAAGTAGGCAAAGAATGTGGCAATAGAGCCATTCTAGTCCTTAAATCCAGCTACTGAATGAAGCTGCAGATTGCATGAGGCATCTGGCAGCTGATTTGCTGTAATTTGTGCTCTGAAAAACTGTAAGAATCTCAACTAAGATTTTGATGGGATCTTGACTGATAGAACTCACCTGGAAAATTGCCTCATATAATGGATACTCCACGCATCTTTTAATGGAACTTTCACTTTGAGTTTTAGGAACCTTTGTGCTAATTTTCGAGCTGCATTTCAAATCAGTCAAATGACTTAGCTGAGAGCCACGAAGAAGTGTTTACTGAAATTCATCTGGAACCTTTGCTCAGACACTAATTCATCCTCCACCCAGAGTCATGAGAACCTTCATTTGGATTCAAATGAAACACCATCCATGTCCAAACAACAGCATCAGACATTCATAGTGAACAGGCAGACAGACCCTACCAGTAAGCCTGAGTAGAACATTCATTCCAGTGGAAATTTCATTATGAAAATTTGTGGAATGTTCAGCTGATCCTGAGTAGCATTTGTTCATGCTACTCAGATTCTCATGGAATGGATCACCCAGATATGAGTGGGTCAGTTTAGTGTTACTCTAATGGAACCTTCACTCAAGTTCCAATGCAACCTTCACTCAAGAGTGCACTCAGATCTTCATGGAGCCTTCACATAGAACCAGCAGTCTTCAGGTACCGCAGAAAACCCTCAACAATCCGTTCAGCTCACCATGTCGCAGTCTCTCTCCACCATATGTCTGCCATGCTACAATAAACCGCACTCTCACTAGACTGCTGAAAATAAGGAGGCAATATTGACAACATAATAATCATTTATTTATTTATACTTGTTTTTAAAAAGTCTGCAAAATGATGTGCAGTTTGTGTTTCATCATTATATTGTCCCTTGGATGACTGAGCAGCTCTGCCATTATGTTTTTCATGTATATAATGTATTATATATTTAAAGCAGGGAGCATTGTTCTGTCAACCATCATGTGGAAAAGCTGGTATTGATCAAGCAGCTCAGAGT